ATTGGGACGCTTGGCTTGGCGTCGTCGAGTTTGTCATCCGCTGGAGGGTTGCGGTACTGTTGTTCCCGCTGAAGCGATGGCGGAGCCGGAGCGTTGCTTGTTCGGCTTTGTTTCCGACTGATCGCCTGCGTATGGTGTTAACGACGTCTCCTTGAGGTCTTCGTGAGATCTTCCTTGGTGGCGGAGGTGGTTGCGTAGGCTGATCCGCTTGAGGGGATTGGCTGCTTGAAGGAAGATGCTGTGTGCTCTCGAGAGAAGCACGAGCTAACCTACCCACCGGCAGCGAAGGCAGGCAATGGCGGGTGGCCGCCCAGATTCGAAAGTTCGAAATCGGGGTGAAGGGCGACATGGAGAATCGGCGGGTGTTGGTTGGCGGGGGGCCGGTCGAGCTGGCGGACGCGATGACGAGGTCTCGTTGGCTCTCACCCGACGGGTCTGGAGCGGCTGCTAGCGCTAACTAGCGCTGCGTTCCGTAACATGCTAATCGACGGCGCGAACGCGATTAATCCTTATCGAGTACCTTCTTCATGTGTGTGTCAGGTAGAGGAAATTCAGACTTGATTTTTTTTTTTTTTTTTTTGTCTGCAGCTGACTCTCCCAGGTAGAGATTGCGATGTCCCAGCCCCTTTTTTTCGTTTTCTTTATTTTGTTGTTTTGTGCCTGATGTGAATTAATGTGTTAATTGCTGCAACCCCAAAGCTGTATCAAGTGGCTGAGCGACCATTTGTCTTCTGTTATTATACAGGTACCAAGTTACTACCAACTATTGTTTTATCCGTCCAAGTGGGACCTAACAAAAGCTGGGACTTTTGTACGGGCCCTTCTCCGCAAGTGGGACTTTGCCCCAGGAATCTGATCCCAAAAGTTGGGTGGTTTGTACAGGACTTGCGGATGCTGGGATCATTTCAAGCAAGCTTTCTAGAGAAGATCTGGGATGCGATCGGGAGTCTCAGCAGCTAGGGTGTGGTTCCGGTGGTTCCGACTTCCATCCGGATGGGTAGGACGAACCTTCATTCCTTTTGGGGGGTTGCCTTCCTGGTTATCAAATCGGTACCTTTGTGCTTATTGTTGCTGACTGGCTGTGGGTGGAAGAGCGACGAGAGCTTTTTGTATGCTTCTTCTTCCAGGGGTTGCGACTTTTGTCACGTCACGCGCTGCACGAGTCAGTTAAGCAGAGGTTGCATGTTGCATGGCTTCTTTTGTTTTTCTCTTTCTTTCTTTATTTATTTTTTAGTAAAAGGGCGATGCCCTTTAGATATCATCCTTGAACTGGGCTGCCCCAGACAATTCAGAATAATTCTGTTCTTTTCATCTGACGGTATCTGGGTTCGAACTTAGGGTCTGTATTGCAACTGGTCTATGTTGAGATGAAGACACTCATCATTGCACAGTCTGCAAGATAACAAGATAGCACACCAC